GGACACTGGTACCAAGAGACAAAACTGTGGAGTGATTGCTGTGAATCTGGCTGCTCTGAAGGCCCCTGGGCTGGACAAGCCAGGGATTGGGCCCTGAAAATGTTGGCATGCTAGGAGAAGTGGAGTTGGGCTTCCATTCCACTCGTGGGCATAAACATCACAGTCATGTTTGGGAAAGAAGCTCTTGCCCTTACACTTCTGCCCACTCTCGCTTGCACTCAGAGCCCAATGCCTCGCACACATGCACTCAGACAAGTCCCAACACCTGTGCCCTCTGGTAGCATCTCCTGGTCATACTGCACTAAAATGACCACTGTTCTGTGATGTTTGACGGCAATTTGAGGACTGGGGATGCTTCTAAGTTGGTAGAGTGCTTGCCTAGCATATATAAAGTCCTAGGGGTTCAAACCTTAGCACTGTATAAGCCAAGTGTAGTGGTATACATTCATTCTCAGCAGTTGGGGAGGTAGAGGCAGGGATCAGAAGTTCAAGGCCATCCTCAGCTGTGTAACAAATTCAAGGCCAGCTTGGGATATAAATAAATAAGTAGGTAAATCAATAAATCAGTATCTAGGAGGCCCCTGCCCAGCATCCTGCACCAGCTTCAATACAATTTCAGAGCCAGTTCAGCACCCTAGCACACAGCCTGGGAGAAAGCAATCGCTCATTCTGATCTCTTCTCTCACTCAAGCCTTTGCCAAAGAGAGTCAATGCCAGGGGCCTGAGGTGGGCCCAGTGAGCCAAGAACCAAGGACCAGCTGCTGCCTGGGCAAGTCTATCCTCCACCCCAGTATTCACTCCAGTCCTCTGCAAGAGACCCAGGAAGGAAGGAGCTCTTCCTCTTGGGGTGGGTAGCAGAACCAGAGTGAGGGCCCCCAGGATGGGTGGCACCTAGGGGCCACCAGAGACACCAAGTCAGATGTACCCCCAAATCTCATTTTCCCTGGTATCCCCACCCCCCAGACTGGAGCAGCAAGGGACCTGGGCTTGCTCAGGAGGCTAGCTCTTCAGCCAGACCACATGACACTCTTTCCTTCTCTCCCCCAGTTTCCTCTTCCTTCTGTGTGTAGTGTATGTCCGAGAACAGGACTGGGCTGTGTCCCTGAGCCAGGGAGTAGTGGGTCATGAGAACTCTTGTGGGAGGTGTCTCCTAGAGGGAATCGTGTGTGTGTGTGTGTGTGTGTGTGTGTGTGTGTGTACGCCCGAGTGCATGCATGTGCAGGGGGGCTTTGCTAAACTTTCTCTGGATTAGATTTAGAGGCAGATCAACATCCTTATGGGGCAACAGGGCTGCCCCTTTCCCCTGCTGCTCCTGTTTTCATCTCTGTCTTTTCACATTCCAGAAGAGCATTTGCGTCACTGTCTTCTGACTCCCCACTCCCTCTGGCATGTGGTAATCTGTGCGATTAGCTCCTGTACGCATCAACTCTCACACTCTCCTCTGTCCACTCTGATGAAACCAGGCTTATAGTGTTTGGGGAAAATAGGCTCCTTGCAGCCCCCTTATTGGTGCATTGTTTCTGCCTATCCAATCAGGGCAAGGACTCCTCTTCTCCTGGAGCCTTCAGAGGCCACAGTACTAGAGAGGAACATGAAGAAGAAAGTTGCCCATTGACATTTTAAAACATTTATTTTGGAGAGATGGCTTAGCATTTAAGAACACTGCCTCTTCCTCCAGAGGCCTTGAGTTCAGTTACCAGCACCCATATGACAGCTAACAACTAACTGTCTTTAACTTCGGTTGTAGGGAATCTGACACTCTCTTTTGGTCTCTATGGGCACTGTATGCATATGGGTGCACTTATGTACATGCACAAAAAACACTCATACACATAAAATAATAAAATAAAAATTATTTTTATTTTTATTTTGTGTGTATCAGTGTTTTGCCTGCATACATGTAAGTGCACCCATGTTGTGCAGTGCCCACGGAGGCCAGAAGAGAGCGTTGGATCCCCTGGAACTCAAGTTAAGGATGGTTGTTAGTTGCCATGTGGATGCTGGGGAACCAAACCTGGGTCTTAACCACTGAGCCATTTCTCTAGCCTACCCATTCACATTTTGAGACCATCCAAATTCATGGAGTACTGTCTCTGTCTCCCTTGCCTGGCTCTGCCAGGGACACTCGCTTTGATTGCTCTCTATGCCACCTCTCAACCTAATCTGCTCCAAGAGATATGTGTAGGTTAGGGCTCTGTGCAGAGTCAGCGAGAAAGAGGTATCGTGAAGTAGGCTACATGAGGCAGGGCTTCAGGGCTACATCATAAAGGACACTTAAGCCACCATTCTGCTCCTTTGGTGGCACAAATCAGGTCCTAAGCAGACTTCACAAAGAGGCTTCCTCGTGAAGACAAAAAGGGGACCCTGACTAGAACTTTCCTCCCATGGGTCATTTGGAAGATGAGAACACCCACCAGGATTTCCACAAGATGGAAAATTCCAGACAGGGGCACATGCTGTAACTTAAGGGTGGCCTGACAGGAGAAGGCCAAGTGGCTCTTGTCCCACTTTATAGATGTAGAGACCTGGGGTCAGGGAGTTAACACTCATGTCACAGCCATGTGAGAGAAGAGGAGCGAGATGTAAGATTATCTGCTCTTCGGTTAGACCATGTCTGGACATCAGGGCTGATGGACCTGGGTGACCCATGTATGTAGAGGAAGCGAGGGTCTTGAAGGAAGTCCTGGGGAGGTGACTGACATGACTGAGTGGGAGGGAGCTGGGACCCCTGTATTTCTTTACCTTCTTGAAGTTTTTCTGAATCTTTGTGTGTGTGTGTGTGTGTGTGTGTGTGTGTGTGTGTGTGTACCAGTGTACTGGTGTCCTCAGAAGCCAGAAAAGAGCATCAGATCCCTTGGACCTGTAGTTATACGTAGTTATGAGCCATCCCTTGTGGGTACTAGGGAGTGAACTTGGGTCCTTTGGAAGAGCAGCAAGTGTTCTTAACTGCTGGGCAATCAGTGTACTGGTGTCCTCAGAAGCCAGAAAAGAGCATCAGATCCCTTGGACCTGTAGTTATACGTAGTTATGAGCCATCCCTTGTGGGTACTAGGGAGTGAACTTGGGTCCTTTGGAAGAGCAGCAAGTGTTCTTAACTGCTGGGCAATCTTTTCAGCTCCTTTTCTGAATCTTGGATCTCAAGTCCTTGCTTGGTATGTAAAAAGAACAGGGTTGTGGGGAAAACCACTGCTCTCCTCCAGTAGTTTTCAGGGGAAACATGCTAATAGACTTCCACAGCTAGGTGAGGCTAGGCTGAGGGCTCTTGCAGCCTGCCTCAGCCTGAAATCTCCTGCCTCCAGCAAGGAGAGCTGACAGCAGAGATTAAGTGCTTGGCTTTGGAGGAAGTGGTGGAGGTGGCCAGTGGTGGGTGTGCCTGGGCCACCTGGATCTCATTACTTTGCCCCAGGAGATTTGTTGCCTTCATGCCTGGGGGTTAGCAGGGCTGTATGTGAACCAGGACTCAGATCTCTGGTGTATGCGCTGTCCCTCCTCAGCTCACTTAGGTCACAATGACATGAGGTTCCTGTCTGCTCTTGTTTCTGGTGTGCACGTGCAGATGCTCAACTGGTTCATAGATGTGCTCAGGGGTGCAGCCTCGTTAGTACTTTCCAGGGATGCCCTGTTTTCATGCCAGGTATTGCAGTCCAGCGTAGGAGTGGGTGTGGCTTTGGAGTGGGCATGGCTTAGAAGTGGGTGGGGTTTAGGAGGATAAGGGGGAAACTTGCAGGCTCCCCCAGTGCTAATTATTGCTGTAAAAGAGCTAGGAGAGCAGGGCCCAGGCAGGAGCTGTGGAGCCCTGAATATGGACCAGCCACGTCTCTTGGTGTCAGGGCCATGCTGTCAGGTCACTTGGGCACCTTTCTCCCTCTTCTCCCTTTTATATAAGTGCTAAAGTAGGCATCTAGGACTGTATTGGAGCACACATGCCCACATGAAGGCAATAGGTAGGTACCATACTAGACTTCCTGGGCATAAGTCTCACAAACAGGAAGTTTCTTTGTTTCCTTGAGTAGTTTGCACTACATACAGACCAATCGTGCAGACCATCTACTATGGACTTTTGTACTCTACCTTGAGTGTGTGTATATGTGGGTGTTTCTTCCAATCTAGTCAGTGCTTTTGCCTTCCCTAAGCAAGAATAGGAGCCTTCAGCAGGCCTCAGTGTGCACTGTTGTCCGACTCCCTGACCTAGTGGGCCTTTTCCATATTTTAGCAAAGATGCTTGCCTCCTCTCAGGACTGGTGCTGCTGCTGCTGCTACTGGTGCTGCTTCCACTGTTGCTGTAATCCTTGTCTTGGATCAGGTTCCCAATGTGCACCAGAGTCTGTGGATGCTCAAGTCCTTTATAGAAAATTGCACAGCATTTTTGGACCCTGTACAACCCTCCTGTGCATTTCAGGGAACAAGAAAAAAGTGTACAAGTTCAGTATATATGTAACGTTTTAGTGTTTTATGACATTGGTGGCTTCTATCCACCCATTTATCCATCTGTCCATTCACCTATCTCTCCGTCCACACATCGATCTGTCAGTCTACCCACTCATCCACCTATTCATCTACCCATCCACCCGTCTATCCACCCACCCATACATCCATCTCTCCATCCATCTACCCATCCATCCAGCTATCCATCCACCCTTCCTTCTTTCTTTCCTTCCTTCCTTCCATCTACCTATCTGCCCATTCATCCATCCATCCTTTCATCCACCCATCTACCCATCCATCAATCCATCCATCTAGCCATCCATCCACCCTTCCTTCCTTCCTTCCTCCCATCCATCCTTCCATCCACGCATTCATCTAGCCACCCACCCACCCATCCATCCATTCTTCCATCCACCCACCCACCCATCCACCCATCCATCCTCAGTGCTGAGATTACAGGCATTCATCACATACCTTATTACCACTGGGGATGGAACCCAGAGCCTTGTGCATGATAGACTCTGCTAACTGAGCTACATCCCCAGGCCTGGCAGTGATCTTTTTGATTCTTTCAGATTTACTGTCCCACTGAAAAAGGAATTGGACTTCTGAAACATACCCAGGCCTGAGGGAATACCCAGAGCTGATGCAGGTGCATCAGCCCCGCTCCTGTTCTGGGGTGTGTCCTTGCCCCTTTGGCTGGGGAGTTGCCAGTGGCCCCTGATTTTTCAGGAAACTTCGAGGCAACATGACAATCAGGTATATCAAGAGGAAACTGATGAGTTCTGGGCTTAGTACTGGGCCATGATGGATTTGGGTGCTAACACTGGGAATGATTTTCACCTGCTTGTGCAATTCATGTGTCATAGTCTCTGAGGTCTTGAAAAGGAAATACGTCCTTGAGGTGCCTTGCAGAAAATGAGTTATACTCGCAAAAATGGCCTAACAAGGACCAAGAAATAGGTATTTGTTTGCAGGCAAGGAGCTGAGGCTCAGTGGGGTGAGGGACTGTCCCAGAGTGTCGCATTCAGTAGCACTGAGAGATCAAGGGACCGAGAGCTCAGGCTCCAGTGGCCCGACTACAGGTATGGACTCTGCCCACATGACCTGGCCCATGGGACCACTCTACATGCCGCTAGGATTGAGACCGTTGGGTGTATGTGGTTATGAGATCAACAAAACTGATGTGGCAGCTTCAATGCCATGATGAGGTGCCATTCCTGGCACGCAGGAAGCTCAGTTTATGGGCGAGCCGGCCCTTGCTGATGTGGCTAATTTGGTTTGGGTTTGGCCCTCTGTCCTTTCCCTTTTAGTGTGCCCCCAACTTCCATGGAAACATGTCTAGGTCCTGCCAGCTGGCAGCATCAACGAGCTGGTCAGAGCCTAGCCCTGCTTGGGCTCAGAGGGTGGCAGACCCCAGAGAGGAAGGCTGTTCTGCCTCAGCACAGACAGGGTCTGCCCACACCTCTGAGCCTCCCAGACTCTCTTGAGGCCTGGGGGTGGGGTCAGCTGTGGCTACTCAGGGCAGCATCCAGACCCACAGTCTAGGCTTTTGCTCTTCCTCATCTTGGGAGCAGATCAGTAGCCATCATGGCACTGTGAAGGCCCGGAGACCACCATGGCCCAGCCTTCCTGGCCCTCTGCAAGCAGAGAGGAGGAAAGGTGGGAAAACAGAGCACAAGGCACTTGCTGACTCTGACCGAATTCTCATCCTCATCTGATGCCAAGACCACTTGACTTAGCAGGGCTTCCCAGATAGGGCTGCACATGCCCAGATTATCCTTGTGCTTCACTTCTGTCTTGTCGCCCAATGATCTTTCCTGCCATTACAACAGTCCTGAAAGGCAGATAATGATAAAAATGATAAAACTGAGCAGTCCAGAGAGATGAACTGACTTTCCCAAGGTCTGACAGACAGCTACTAAGGAACAAGGAAGATGGTCCAACCCAAAGCAGCTGGCCCCTTCAGCCCTTGCCCTACCCTTAAGCGTCTTGCCTAGCCCCAAGGTATTTTGCCTGAGATGCGCTCCAATCTCACCCTCCCAATCCTACAGTGCTGGCTCAACCCCATACTGGTCTCCATGACACTGTGCAGGCTCTCTTGCAGCCAGCTCTCTCCCCATACTCCTTGGGGCTGGAGTTTGGTCTGTGGTCTGCTCTTAGTGACTGACTAGAACAGACAGTTCCTGGCAGCCCACAAACTCCGTCTTCTCCAGGTAGGTAACCATGGCCCTCCAAGTGGGTGTGGCACTCAGAAGGGGTAGGCCTAGTGAGTGCTTGTTCCCTGGCCTCTCTCATTCATTCAGGGCTCTACTACTCTTGCCAACCCTGATACCTGAAGGAAAGTGCATGATCTTGGTATTCTAGGACTCCCATATGGCCTCTATGAGTTTATTTTCTATTACTATGATGAAGTGTTTGAAGCTGTGTACATTGTAAAGAAAAGATACTCATTTTATATCACAGTTGTGGATACTCATGGTACTGGCATCAGCTTGGCTCTACTGAGGACCTCACTACTGATGGCATCACAGTGGCAGCAGGAGAACCTGTGTGTGTGCGTGCGTGCGTGCGTGTGTGTGTGTGTGTGTGTGTGTGTGTGTTTGTGAGAGAGAGACAGAGAGAGTGAGACAGAAACAGAAAGGGATTACAGGAAGCCAAACTTGCTGTTTGACAACATTCATAAGAACTAACCTAATCACTTGTCATCAAACCTCACTCCTCCATCTCTGTCTCTCTGTCTCTGTCTCTCTCTGTCTCTGTCTCTTTCTGTCTCTGTGTGTGTGTGAGTGTGAGACAGTCTTTCAGTGAATCTTGAACTCACCTATTTGTCTACAAGGCTAGCTGCCTAGCCAGCCTCAGGGATCCTCCTATCCCTGCTTTTCCAGTGCTAGGATTTTAGGCATATGCCACCACACTCCAACTTCTTTACATGGATGCTTTACATGGAGATTGAACTCAGGTCCTCATGCTTGTCTGGCAAGTACTTTACTAACTTGAGCCATCTCTCCATACTCCAAACCTTACTTTTTAAAGGTACCAGTAATTCTTAACATCACTATATTGGGCACATGAACAATTAGGGGACTAACCACATCCAAATTATACTGGTGACCCACAATCCATTACAAATACATAAAGTGACAAGTATGTATTTGTCTTTGTCCTAGAACCCACTGAATCTCCAAACAAGTAGCTTGAAAAGCAATCAGCATGAGTATCTCAGCTCTAGGAAGTAGCATCAAAGGTGAGCCTGGGCTGCATGTCTGCCTGCATTAGCCCAGGCATACCCCTAGAGGACCGCAGCATATTGGGAGGGCTGGCAAGGGCAGAGGGCCAGGGACTGGGGTTCCTGTTTTGAGGTTCCTAGCCTTGCCCCTTCCAGGTAAACCTCTGCCCCCCGGTGAGGAGGAGCGCAACAATGTCCTGAAGCAGATGAAAGTACGAACCACACTGAAGGGCGACAAGAGCTGGATCATCAAGCAGGATGAATCCGAGGCTCGCACCACGTAAGTCCAGAGGCCAGGAGGAGAAGACAGCAGCAGATGGGGGTTGAGGCATGGGACCCAGCCCTACCTGCGAATGCTGAGGGCCTCCTGACATTTAGAGCTAAGGGTAAGACCTGAACACAGCCACAGGACAGGACAACTCCTAGGTGCTGAGGTATGTATGTCCGTGTCCGCAACCCCTGTAAAGTCTGTTGGGAAAGATGAGGTGAGGCAGAAGGGTAGTTCACAGCAGGCAGCCTTTGGGATGGAGCCTCAGGGTGACAGGTGACAAGGAGCTTGGGAGCCATTCTTCTCAGGGCCTGTCTTTCCCCCAGAGAGCTGCCCTCGTGCCGGAACCGTGCCACGTCCTTTTCATCGGTTGGCGAGGTCTCAAAAGCCAGGTAAGAGATGGTGCCCAGGTGACTTTTAAGTGGGCCTCATGGACTCTCTTGTTGCAGAGAGGGGTGGACACTCCCCACGGCGCACATAGGGAGACTGAATTGAGAGAAGGGGCATGAAGGAGCTTTAAGTGAATCATTTGAAATGCTGTTCCTCTAAGCTTTCCTCTTGGATCAGGGAGTATAGGCTCCTGTCCTTGCTATGTAACTGTGGGGTGGGCCTCCTTGGCTCCAGCTGTCATTTGGGATAGAAATTATCAGTAAGAAGACTACATACGCCTGTAATCCCAACATTTGGGAGGTGGAGGCAAGAGAATCAGGAATTTAAGGCCAGCCATGGTTACATAGCAAGTTCGAGGTTAGTAACCCTGCCTACACGATATCTTCTTCTCAACAAAACAAAACAGACAAACAAAAACACCCACCCCCACACACACCAACCAAACCAAAGTGAAGACTATTATTTAACTTGTTCTTGAAGACTGAGGCTTTCTTGGGCAGCTTGAAGAGTCACCAGGTGACTCAGTCCTGCTAAGTGCACATGGAATCATGTAAGGGAAGACTTAGAACTTTGTTCCAACTGTCCACCAAGTTGTAAAAAGAGGCTAGCCAAGTAGGACCAAACTTCTGTTTTGAGGATTTTTTTCCTGTAACAGTGTATTTTTTTTTTGGTGTGTGTGTGTGTGTGTGTGTGTGTGTGTGTGTGTGTGTGTGTGTGTGTGATGGTAGGGCGGTCTGAAGTATGACCTCACCCTGCTAGCATCTGGAGGAACTGCTCCTGAGAGAGAAGGGGACGTGTGAAAGTATAGACTTGGCCCTTCCTCTAAACTCCTGGCACTTGGCAGTGAGGCCTGCTTAGGTGGTGGCAGAGGCAGTGGCAGCAGCTGACCCACAGGATATCCTCCAGTAATTATAGTCTTGACTGTCATCTTTAATGACTCAGGGACTACCTATCCACACCCTGCATTGGGCCCAGAGGCTACAACAGTGGTCTCGACTCAGGATCTCCCCTCAGGGGACCAACATCCTTGTAAGAGACAGCTAGGAGTTGGGGTAGTAGTGGTAAGGAAGATTGGTAAAAGTTTGAAGGCCAATAAAAGATAGTCTTGGGGCTGGAGAGATGACTCAATGGTTAAGAGCACTGGCTGTTCTTGTAGAAGACCCAGGCTTGAATCCTATTACCCACATAACAGGTAACAACCTTCCATAATTCCAGTTCCAGGGGATCTGACACCCCCTTCTGACCTCTGTGGGCATTGCATATGTGTGTGCTTACATATATGCAGGCAAAACACTCATGCACATAAAATAGAAAAATAATAAATAAAAAAGAGTGTACACACCATCGCAAGTGTTTATGGTATCCTTAGACCTGACCTCACTGTTCTAGCCCAGAGCATTCCTATTACTGAACAGTACTGTCTGCTGAGCCCTTGCCTCCTTACTAGCTATAAGGAAGAGTCCTTGGAGGGGCCTTCATTTTCTGTCCCTGAGTCTGGGACTTATAGCCCCAGCTACTTGCTGACTACTTCTTTCATGCTCCCCACAAGTATTCTGAGCCTCCTCTGTTGATGCCAAGCAGCAAGCCCCAGGACCCAGAACCTATTGTTTTCCAGCCATTAACCAAGCCCTAGGTATATCCTCCATTCTCAAGCTTCCATTACTACTTTTGATGTGGATGCCCCAAAGGACAGAGGAAGAAACACCTTAGAGGAGTGGTAAGGGAACGCCAGCCGGCCTTAACTGACTGGAGCCAAGGCATGTCAGCCTTCCTGGAGGAAGGTGTGGTGAGATCAGGTCAGATCTGTGGGGCTTTGCCTGCTATAGCTTCAGCCCCCAGTTGTTGAGGGCAGCCTGGGCTCCAAATAGGGAACTTTTCAGTCTAAGCTCAGGCAGCTCTGAGAACAGAGGGTAGGTTCAGCAAGCACAGTTTTCCTTCAGGAGCCCCAGGGTCTAACAAGCCAGAAGATGCTGGGCCTCTGTAGTAAATGTCAAAGCATAAAACAACCTTGTCAGGTACCTGTTGTGAGTCAGAGCTGTGCTGGGCCTAGCAGCAGAGGAGCCAGCCATGGGCAATGTTCCTGAGAGAGACTGAGGGAGAGGTGGATGGAGCAGAGTCAGCTTCGGAGGCACTACATTGAGACACCCACCGGCTGTGGTTGAGAACAGGATGGAGTAAGGTGGTTTGAATTGTCTAGCAAGGTCATGATTCCCTTCATTCCTCCTTTTCTCTTGCCAGGCTTCCAAGCACAAAAGCTCCCGCTGGCTATATCATCCGGTAAGTAACTTCAGGACCCTGCCTGCATCCTCATTCCACTAGGGCCACCCCCCGACACCCCCTTCTTAACAACCTCTGGGCTCTCTTATAGGGGAGTGTTCACCAAGACGATAGACAGCTCATCCCAGTCGCAGCAGCACTTCTCCAAGACCAATGGAGCTCCAAAAGGGTATGTTTGTGGGTGTGCTGGCAGGTGCTCATTGGGAGGGTGGGAGAGCCCTGCCTAGATCCAGGGCAGAGAGAGGGCTCTGACCCTTGCAAAGAGTAAGAGAATGCCCTACCTGACTCTGGTCACTGGGGCAGGAAAGCACAGGCCAGAGGCAGGAGGAGAGCCAGGGAAAGGGGATCCAGACAGCTGTGCGGATTATGCCTGCATTTCCTAGTGCCCCTACACCTTCATTTTGCTTACTCTTTGTCTCCTAGCCTGACAGCTGACACCTTGCACTTGCTGCAGGTACTGAGCAGTGTGCTTAGTCTACCTTCCCAGTATGCCAAGGGGGCATGTTATCCCAACACCTTGCTATCAGGCAGAATTAGGGCTTCATCCAGAAGGAAAGGTCCAGGGGCCTAGTGGACAGGAAAGAAGATGCAGCTCATGTGGCTCTGCCCTGCTCAGAGTGTCTGGCAGGGCTGACAGCAAAGAAGAAAATCTCCCAGCTGCCTCTGAGCCACCTGTTATGTGTCTTCTGGGCTGTGTGGGTAAACCCGAGGGCAGGAGGTGACCTGTGCTTGGGCAAATGGAAACTTCTTGCCTATCTAGTACTGCTGGGTTGCTGGGAGCAGTGAACTCTGGTCTTCCTCGCTCCTCGTCCTCTGGCTACAGGATGACTACGGAGGATTACAAGAAGCTGTGAGTACGCGATTTCAGACCATTGAGCCCAGACACTGGGCTTGCGGAGGGCAGCTGAGTGCTTACTTCTGAGCAGAGCCTGGGGAGAACTAGTCCTATCAGCATGACAACGCCTGCCACTTAATAGCTGTGACCTGGAGCAGAGGGTGCCCAAACCCCAGAAAATAGAATGGCCATGCCCAATACACTTCTGATATGAGGCAATAAAAGGACCGTAGGGAATGTCTGGAAGGAGTGTTTGGGTTTCGAGAAAGGACCATGGACCATGGCCACGGGGCTACTGCTGGTTGTCTGTATTTCCTGAATGTGCCCCTGTCCACCTCTGTGTCTCAGGTTCTTGGGCTGAGCTGAGCTGGGTTATGTTTGGGGGCCTGATGTTCCTTAGGTTGTTACTGGCCCCATAGACTATTGGTATGGGTATTTTGTGTCTAAAGACGCCCCTTGAAGTTCCTTCCAAAGGCCCCCTGTCTGGGAGGGGTGTTCTAGACAGATGTGTGAGTTGTGCTTGCACTTCCCAGGTGTAGCTTATCCCTTGCCCCATCATCCGGTGACTTGGAGCAGCTGGCAGATGTTTCTAGGGAGGTAGTGAGGCTACAGTTGGGGGTAGAGGGACAGAGAACAGGAGAGAGAAGTGGCATGAGCTAAAGCTCAAAGGCTGCAACAGCAGTGTTTGTTTGTGGCACTGGATGTCGAGGAGCCAAAGTATGAGGGTGGCAGCCTCTGATAGAGAATGGGGGGATATGGAAGAAGAGCCATACCCGCTTCTCTCCTGTACAGGGCACCCTATAATACCAGGCGCAGCTCTACGTCAGGGACTGAGGAAGAGGAGGTGCCCTTCTCTTCAGATGAGCAGAAACGGAGGTAAGGGTGTCCCTCATGGCCACCCCCACAGGCAGGACAGGGGCTAGAGTCTTCACTGAGTGTTAAAAGCAGTTGTGCCAGCCATGGTGACAAAATGAAGGCTGTCACCCTGGAAGTCTCAGGAACACCTTTCAGTGCTGAGCTAGCTCAGGAGACCCTTTAAAAACTTGCTGAGAGTAGAGCCTAGGTAGCACAGGTCCATGGAGAAGTCTCATGTATGGGTTAGAAAGGTCCTGGTGAAATCAAACAATATGCAAGGTAGGATGCCCTGGGTGGGGCCATATGCCCATGCCCTCTGGGTGTGCTGTGTGTGCAGAGTCCTTTGAAAGCAGGAATGGTCTCCAAAGTTTCAAATGCCCCTTGCCTACAAAGCAAAGCTCAGCTATAAGCCAACATCTGCCAACCTGTCTGTGGTTGAGGCGGCACAGTGATGACCCCTTGTTGAAGGCCTCAGAAGGTTGCCAGTCATGCATGAAGAGTCCACAGTGGCATGGGGCCTGAAGTCTGCATAGTGCAGGAGCAGAGGAACAAACCAGTAACTCTGGAGGTATCTCACATCAAATGGCAGCCTCCCACCTGTTTAGGTGTGTGTTCTTTGGCCAATCTCCTGAGTAGCACCCAGGCTCAGTCAGTCGTGAAGTATGTCAACGCATTCTTCCCTGGGTGGGAGAGTCAGTGAACCAATGTGAGGGTGTCAGCATTCAAGGCAGGGCTGGGCACATGCTGTGTGCTTCATAAGTAAGGGCTGCCCTTCCTTTGGTGTACCCATGGTTCCTCTGAATAGTCCTTAGAGCATGTGCTGCTCTGGCTTCTACTCCTTATCTGTCTGAGTGATCCAGAGAATATGCTGAGCTAGACTAATGGAGCATCTAGTTTGACACCCACCTCTTACTGCTCCAGGTCAGAGGCTGCAAGCAGTGTGCTCAGGAAGACAGCCCCGCGAGAGCACTCCTATGTCTTGTCAGCAGCTAAAAAGAGTGCTTGGTGAGTTGCCTAGGAGCGAGGCCCAGTGGGCGCGAGCCTGCCTTGGCCACCTCTGGCTCTGTGATCTGGGCCCCTTCCTGTCTGCTCTGGGTTTCAGCCTTGCTTTGGATGGTGAAGCAGCATTGTAGAGTCAGTACTCCCAAGGGCCCTCCTCGGGGGTCTCAGATGCACTTCCAAGAAGCTAAGCGGGAAAGGAGCAGGCGAGGTACTGGGATAGTAGAGACCCAGGCCCCTCTGTGGAGAGAGGCTGAGATGGCACCGGCCAATAAGCTTTGTCCAACATGTCTCCTTTCTGCTTTCTCTAGCAGTCCTACCCAGGAGCCACAGGCCTCATTTATTGCAAAGAGGTAAGTGTCACCAAGGGAAGGCCCAGGAGCCAGCTGCTGTCATGAGAAAGTGTCCTGTCAGTAGGGGTGTAGCGAGAAGGAGGGTCGCTCTCTCAGAGCAGGGGGAATTGTGAGGCACTGGGCAGGCTTCTGTGTGGAGGCCAGGTGAACGAACACCTGGGTGGCTCATGTATCCCTTTTAGCCACTTTGTGTAGGCCGGGGCCTGGCTGAGAGAATGCAGCTTGTGGGCAACTTCTTCCATTTTCTTAGGGCTGCAGGGCTGGGCCTCTGACACAAATGGAAGTGAAGCAGAAATAGCCACCAGGTTGCGATGGGGTTTTACCCTGGCCTGCTTTCTACCCAGCAGAGACAAGGCTGGTCCAGAGGCTTGTCCCAGGGAGCCCCTGCCTGGGCAGCCTTAGGAGGTACTCTCACCCCTTCCACCAACTGAGGAGGACCAGGAAGCATCCTCTCTGACCGCAGAAAGAGTCCTCTTACTTCTTGCCTTGCCCTGTGCTCTCCTCTCACCCAGGACCAGGACCACCAAGAGAAATTCTGTGGGAATTGACTGTGACATCAGTGGTCCTAAAGGACAAAGAGGGTGAAAAAGAGAATGATAAGGATATCAGGACCCTAGCTGAGAGGGGGACAGGGTCTTATTATTTGAGATGGGTTCAACTTCTGTGGGATGATGATGTTGGAGGGAGGCTAGGGTAGAAGTTTCTGTAAGTTGAATCTTATAGACCTTTGGTTGCGGGAGCAATGAAAGCCACTGGTTAAAGTGGCATAAGAAAGTGTGGGTGGAAAGTCAAGGAAGAACCAGGTGTTCCAGGCCGAGGCCCGGCCAGTGCAGAGGCCCACAGGTGGGAACGCAGTGCTGTTGAAGGACAGTAGCAGACTAGACTACTGTGAGCAAGGGGTCGTGGCAGCACAGAGGAACTAACGCAATAATGTGTATAATAGCTATATTAGGCTCTTGTGGCTGCTGAACAAACTGGGTGCCCTAAAACCCCAGAAAGGGAGGCTAAGACTCTGAAATTGAGGTGCTTGGGATAAATCCTTGCCATGCCTTGGTTTCTACCTGCATCACACTAGCCTGTTCCACTGTCTTCACATGGTATTCCTTGTGTGTCTGGGTCCAGATCGCTCATGCCTCAGAAGGACATTGCCATTGGACGTGACCTTGTCTTATCTTCATTATGCCTCCCCAAATCCTATTTCCAAATGAATTCAGAGTCACGGGTTCCAGGGGACATGAATTTTGGAGGGACACTATTCAACTTACTTATCTTGAGCTAGAGTGGCCAAGGCCTAGGCCGCCTCATTTGGGCACTGGTGAAAGCACGTCTTTCAGAGGCCAGGAAGCACTGGGGCAGCTGAGAAGAACACGAATGCCACTTCTCTTGCCCACAGGGTTGATGTTGTAGATGAGGAGGTGCCTTCTGAGAGCAACCAGGAGCCGCCTGCTCTGGCAAGATCTGAGAGCAACCAGGAGCCGCCTGCTCTGGCAAGACCATCTCCTAGCTCGAGCAGGTAATTGTTTGCACATCTCTGCCACTTAGTGCTTGGAGAACCCCTCTCAGGCTCGCTGCTGAGCCTCAGAGTCACTGTCCGGAGTCCAAGGACAAGATTGGGAGCTGAAATCAGTGAGGGCTGTTTTGAATGGATGCCGCTGGGCTGGAAGGAGAAAAACAGCCTTGCCTCCAGGGAAAGAACACTTGGTTCTCCACTGTTTTGTGCTTATCTGTGTCCCCTTAAAGCTTGCATTCCTGAGCCTCCCAGAGGCGCACCATTCATTCTAAGGTACATAACCGGAGGAAAAGTACCCCCCTTAAGTTAAGGTTTGAGAGGCTGTCCATGCAGCAGTTGTCTGCTATCATTAACCTTGCTCCTGGTCATCCTCTAAGTTAGCCAGGTTCACCCGACCTAGCAGCAGTCCCCACAGTCTCCCAGACTGCTCACAGATGCCTTCTTTGCCACTGTGTGTGGGGGTAGAGGCCACGTATCTTGGGTGATTTGAGCCAAGTGCATGCTGAGTGTGCCTAGCTCCTCCTGGAACCAGGAGCCCAGGTGGGTATCAGCTAATTCTGGACTATGAGTTTGTCACATCATTTCTCATTGGCCTGGTTGGCCAGGCCTACCGACCAGGGAAGGCCTGGTAGTGGACTGACAGCACAGGACAGGTTAAATGTTGCCTGTCTCACTCCAGGCAGGGCTGCGCTTTGCCCTGGTTTCTGATCCCCGAGTGTCCAGGCAGAAACTGGCACTCTCTTGTCAATGCCTCCCTGTGCTTTGCCCTGAATGGTGCTATGCCTGACAGGAAGTGCACTTGCCCGGCCACTGCTGCTGAAAGCACCTGCCTGGATCAAGCACTTGGCTCAGACCATGGTCTGCTAAGGGCTACACTCCTATGGCACCCTGGAAAAACCCCAAAACCAGAAGGGAAGAGGGTCCATCCCCACAAGTCAGTTCCTCAGTCCCCAGTGCCTCTTCTGGCTCTCCGGATGCCACTGCCGACCCCCAACTCAAGCTCTACAACCATTTATAGACCCATGCCCACTGTCGTGTTGACCCTCTTTGTCTGATTCTCCCCATCAGAACATTGGTCCATAAGGACCTCAGAAGACTTGGAAACGAAGATCTCAGAGCTCCCATGAGGTGTTATGTAGGGGCTCAGTGATTGATGGGAGTAGGGCCAACACAGCCAACTGCCACAGAGTTGGCGGCTTAAATGGTGGAAACTTACTTTCTCACAGTTCTAGAGGCTGGAAGTCCAAGATCAACATGTGGACAGAATTTTCTTGAGGCCTCTCTCCTTCACTTATAGATGTTTTCTTCATGCGTCTGCACAAATCTCGTGCGTGTGTGTGTGTGTGTGTGTGTGTGTGTGCGCGCCTGTGTCTGTGTCTGTGTCTGTGTCGGAACACCAGCTAGACAAGGACCCATTGTACTGTTTAAAACCCTCATCTCCACACATACTCCATATGGTTCTGAGGCACTGGTGGTTATGCTGTCAAGATATGAATTCTCAGGACACAAATCAGTCTATAATAGATTGCATTTCTCGTTTCTCTGTACTGATCTTGAAAAATAGGAGTGAATGCTTTTGAATGCCTTTTAAGAGATAACGTAGGTAGAGAATTAGGATTGTGCTCTATTAAGCATCCGAGGGGCACTTTAAAATTTTTATTTATATTTTATGTGTATGAGTGTTTTGTGTGCATGTATGTAACTGTACCCATGTTGTGCAATGCCAGTGGAGGGCAGAAGAGGGTGTCACATCTCCTAGACCTGCAGTTATGAGAGAAACATGTGCTTCAGGAAATTCCTTCAGCTGTTTTTCTTGGGGGGGTGTAGTAGGTACATATGTACAAGTATGTGCTTGTGAATGTGTGTGAGCTTGTGTGTGGAAGTCAAAGGATACCACTGAGTGTCGTGCCTCAGGAGCCTGTCCACCTTGTGTCTTTCTCTCTCTCTCTCTCTCTCTCTCTCTCTCTCTCTCTCTCTCCTTTCTATCTCTTCCCCCTCCCTCTCCCTTCTTCCCTTCTTTCCTTCCTTCCTTTCCTTCTTTCCTTCTTTCTTTTTGGTCTTTTTGAGACCGGGTCTCCCTGTAGCCCCAGCTGGCCTGGAACTCACTATGTAGGCCAGGCTGGCCTCAAACTCACAGAGATCCGCCTGCCTCTGCCTCCCAAGTGCTGGTATTAAAGGCATGTGCCATCTTGCCCAGTCTGCCTTGTTTTGTTGAGACAGGGTGTCTCATTGGCCTGGGGCTTCCCCCATTTAGGCTAGGCTGGTTATCCAGCGAGCCCCAGGGATCTGCCTGTCTCTGCCCCATCGCTGGGTTCTAGAGATTGAATTGGGTTCCTCATGATTACACAACACTCTCTCCCCTTTGTTCACTTCCTGTCACATAAATGCTTTAACAAAGTGCTACAGGTTGAATTAGCAACATACCTCAGAGTTTGGGGGTTGGAAGGGCAGATGAAGGTCCTGGAGTGCTCAGCCTGGCAAAGGACAAAGAGGTCACAGTCTTCAGGCCTGTGAAGAGCCTCCCTAGAAAGCGGGACTAGGGCCAGTGTACAGAATAGTCTACAGGCCAGAGTTATCTCACACAGGGAAGCCCCTACTAAGAAGGACGGACACTTTACCATCAGAAGCATGCAGAAGGGCTGGGCAGAAAACTGGAGACTTAGAGACATATCTAAACTCCTAAAAGAGGTGCAGCTTGCTTTTTCTGATAGCTCTTGCTTCAGATTCTTTGATCACAAAATATTATTTCTTAAGGTGAAATAAGGCCTCTGGCTGGCCCTGGGTCTGCAGAGCCTTCTCTTACCCTACTGCATCAGGTGCTGCCATGGACCAGGCAGCCATCAGCAGTCCTCTCGTGCTCAGCCCCTGTCAACCTAGCTGTCTGAAAAGGCCAAACTCTGAGTCCTGACAAGACTCCATAAGGCAAAGTAGGAGAGTGAGAGGGGAGTAGCCCAGGCACAGCCCTACCAAGGCTATGTTCTTCCTATCTGGTCCTGCTCTGCCTGCCTCAGGTACAGTCCAAAGGTTCCTTCTCAGAGCTCTTACCATCCCTGGCTTGAGTTTCTCCCCATCAGTGGTGTTCATGCTCTGGTTCTACCTTGTCAGATCAGGGCCAGGCCCCTGGGTTCTGATCTTGGACGGTGACCGAATCATGCTGCCTGGCAGAGTAGTTGAGGATCAGTGAGGAAGAGCACAGTTTCTGGCACAAGACATAATCCTGGTTTTGCCCTTTATTGGGTGACCTTGAGGAAGTATCTTTAGATCTCTGTGCCTCAGTTTCCTCAGGTGCCAAGTAGGGAAGGCAGCAATACCCGCTTCCAGGCCTGTCTACCACATGGTATTCATTTGGGATATGCATCTAAGTGTTCAGTGCAGTACTTGGGTGCTGCTGTTGCTTGCCCTCCACTATAGGATTACTGACCCACAGTCCAACAGGATGCCAGAAAAGATGACTATTGCCACCTACTGGCATTTAGAGGAAATGTGGTTAGGGACAGTGAACAGGACCACCCTGCACTCCAGTGCCCCCATCCCCACCTCCCACCAGGATGTGCCATGTTCCCTTTGGTACAGGTTACTGCCACTCTCATTCTCCAGAGTTGGCTGGGGCCACAGTGGGTGTTTCCTAATCCATTTGGGCCTGGTTTTGTGTTTGAAGGCCTTCCAGGCTGTGCAGCTTTCCAGAATTTCTGTAGCCTCTCAGCCCAGTGGAAAACTTCGAATTGGACTCAAGCTGCCTGTGGCTGAGGGTCTGTAGGGTTGGCACTGTGGAATTGGCAGAGCTGTTATGGGGCTGCAAGGGAGGAAAGACTTGAAAGATCCTGTATGCATTTGGTTGGGCTGCTGCAACAAGAAACTGGGTGACTTGAAACAATAGAACTAGACCCTTTCACGATTCTTCAGGCTAGAAGTCTGTGGTCAAGGTATTGGCACACTCATGCTCTTTCTCTAGCTCTGAGGGAGAATCTATTCAAGGCCTTTCAGGAATTTCTTGACGCTTCTTGGCTTGGGGTTGTGTCAAGCCTTTGAGTCTCTGCCTACGTCTTCGCATGGCCTTCTCCCTAGTGTGTGCCTATGTCTAAATTCCCCTCTTCTCATAAGGGCACAGTCTGTCTTCATGAAGTACATGGACATGCCATGTACCAAAAAGGGGGTGCAGATGGGTCAGGGTGTCACACTGCATGAGGCACTTGAGGGTGCTAACGCAGCAGGAAAGAAGAAATGTTTCCTACCAGCAACTCCCCAGTCTCTCCTTTGGCCTACAGCTTGAGAACTGAGGAGACTGTCTGCCTGCAGATCACAACTCCCAGAGCCGGACTCCGCCTGGTGGCCCCAGACCTGGAAGCCATGAGGTGTGTGGGCTCTCTGTTGTTGTCCTGTCTCTCTGTATACCTTTCTAGAGATGAGTGGAGAGGCAGGATGCAGCCTATGACTTACGGGGAGCTGGCTCAACCCCTGGGGATGACTGGTTGGTAGGAGACATGGCCAACCTGAGTTCTCCATCACCCTCATTCTTTTATTCCAGTCATTGTGAAATAAGCATTTGGTGTTTGTGAGGCCAGCAGCCTGGTACTTGGACCCAGTGCTGATAGGCTCCCTGGGTCAGTGTTTTTGACTGACGAAGTAGCTCGATGCCAACCTGAACAAGATTAGCTTATAATGTTGACCACACCATGTGCCCTGAATACCGAGGAAGTAACAGGACTGGTTAGCTGTGCTGGGTGAGAACAATGGGTCTATGTAGCCCCCTGAAACCATGGGTGCAGTTGCCTTGCATGTGGGGGTGGGGAAGCCCTGGGAACTGGGTTGGATTAATGGGTTTGCCTCCATAGTTCATAATGTTGCAGTGCCCCGTGCTTGAGAGAATAGACAAAGGGGCCAGATTCAGGAAGAAGCCCAGCACCCATCCTGAGGGAGGCAGGAGGTTAGTCAGGGGCTGGGGGCTGGGCCCAGTGGAAGCCAGGGTGATACTGAGAAAGAAGATGGACCCCTATATTATGGTCTTCAGAGTCTGAAGAAGGAGGCAGGTGTGTATACACAAGATAATCTGTCTGTTCTTAGAGCAGTGGGAGTCAAGGGAAGGCTTCCTGAAAGTGTCAGTCAACATGAATCCACAGGGATCTCTGGGTCCTTTCGTTCTCTTCCTTGGCTCCTGCCTCTCTAATCCCACACATCCTTCTGTCTAATCTCTTTTAAAGACCTTCCACTCCCAGTGTCATTCCCTGAGTCCAGGCCTCCATCAGTCAATATTCTAGCTCTCTGCCACCTTGTCCTACTATCTGAATCTCCAGGCTGTCTTCCACATATCTACCTGGGAACATTTGGAGGTCATTAGCTCAAGTGACAGTTGGTGCCATAAAAGGAAAGTGGGTAGCCTAGCAGATGGTAGAGTAAGCAGACAGGGAAGAACACTGGCACACTAACATTCAAAGGAAAGAAGAGGTGGAAAAGGTGACAGAGGCCACGAACATGGGACCAGGGAGACAGAAGGTGTCACAGGCTTGAGGGAGGAGAGGTGGCAAGTCAGAGGGAGAGGCCAACTGGATTGGTAGTACTGCTGTCCCAAAATAATGATGGGACTGACTCTTAGAGTTGATAACATGGGGCTCCTTGATGACATCAAGGGTGACTGAGGAGTTAGGACCAGGGTCACACTAGGAGGGAGCATGGTCTCGAACTCTGGAGCCAGCTGTCTGGCTCCAGATTCTAGTCCTACTCTTTTTATTTATTTTTATGTGTACAAGTGTTTTGCCTGCATGCATGTAAGTGCACCATGCGTGTGCAAGCCTATGGAGGCCAGAAGATCTGCGTCAGATCTGCTGGAACTGAAATTACAGATGGTTGTTAACTGCCATATGAATGCTGGGCAACTGAGCTTGGGTCCTTTGCAAGAGCAGCCAGTGCTTTTAACTGCTGAGCATCCCTCCAGCCCCAGCTCTTACACTTTTTACTTGTGGAACTTGGAGCCCATCACTTAAGAGGCCTTTGGGGCACCAGGTAGCTCATCTGGAAAGTGGACATGGATGATAACATTGCCCATGTCTTTAAATTGATGTAGAGAGTTAATGTGTGGTAGGCACATTGGGGGTCAGTGGCCACCAGAAAGTTGAAAGTGTAGATTCTGGCCCCTAATCAATAATGACTAATAATGAAAATTTGGCTAGTCAGTCTGCACACTTTAAGTTCCTTAGAGATAGCTGACATTTAAGTGCCTGCATCAGTGTGTTGAGGAGTCATTAGGTCATCTCTCTTCTCTGTAGGTCTTCCTCAGGACACAAAGACAAGGAGGATCCCTGCTCCAGAGAGCTCGAGAGCGAGTCCGCTGGTGAGGACAACATCAAGAGTGCCAAGAGAGACTCCGAAAGGTAACTCATTGCAGGAAACAGACTCTTTATTCGCTACAGATAACTGGCTGTGCCCATAACTTGAAGTCCATGCACATTCAACTGGAGGGCATTCATGGAGGGTCCAAGGTCAGTAGCCAGACTAGGGGCCTGCATATCTGTATAGGGAGAGGGAGAAAAGGGAGAGGGGGGTTGAGCCTAGAGAGGGGCAAGACCCTAAGATTCCCCCAGGTAGCCAGTTGCACAGGCAGACCAACTACAGACCAGGCCTCTCACAGCCCTTGGTCCTCCCTGCCTTCTCATTTGGGAGCCCTGGGGCCCCCATTCTGGTCTCTGTTCCCTGGGAAGGAAGGAAGTGGCCCTGGATGAAATGGTGAGGCTTGTGTCTGCTCTCTCTGGCTTATTAGCACCCCAAAGGCCTTCTCTCTTGTTCTGGTGGCCACTGACCCCCAATATGCCTACCTTTCGCTGAGTTTCCACCTTGCTTTCTTTCCTCCATTCTTGTTCCTGGCTCATCAGTTTGAAAGAAACACAGAAATGCTTCCTGGCAGAGTCCACTTGGGCTTGATTTGGCTCTGATCAAAGCAGATTAAAGAGACGACCAAGGGTCCCTGCTTCTAGATCACGAGTCATGCTCCCAAGACATCTAAGCTAGATAAGGTCACAGCTCAATCGGAATCAACAAATGCTTGTCTTCCAGTATCAGGTCAACTACACAGTTGAATGATGGCAACCTTGGATCTGAAACCACAGGGTCTCCACCAGAATGTTTGGCTGCTGTGGACATCGGCTCAGAGGGAAAAGGGTAAGATGCTAGTGAGAAGCATTTCTTTCATATCCCTGATGACAGGCCAGACTCAAGGAGCCAAACTAGTTGGACTGCTGGGGGTGGAAATCTACCACACTTCTGTCCTTTACCACATCCGTTGCCCTTGGATTTTCTACTTCTTGGATTTACTTCTGTTTCAGTCTAGCCCTCCTCCCACTCCCCGATCACTGATTCTCAAGGCCCAACTCGAAGCTAAAGGCCCATCCTTCAGCAGAGACTGGCCTTAGGTATAATGAATGTGTAGAGAATGCAGAAGGGGCAAACTGCTGAATGACATAATGATGCGAGAATTTGTGCTTTCTTACTTCCTGGCTGAGCTCTGAAGACGAATTAGGAGGCTGTCTCTAATTTCTCCTTTCTCTAAAGAAGAAGAAGCCCCAAAGTCTCTTTTTCTTGCCCCACACTCTTCCCTGACCAGCTCTGTTGCAGCACAAGAAGGGTACCATACTCTCTGCCTCTGAAGCCACTGTCTCTGAGCAGGTCCAATGAAGGCCACTGGGCCAGGGATTCAATTCTTTCAGCCACCATTAATGCATCTTTTTGCTGCCTGTGCAGGCACCAGAATGCTCTTCCTGAAAATAAATCGGTACATTTCTCCCCTGCTTCAACCTCCCAATGGCTCTCCACTTTCTTGAACTGAAGCCCAAACTTCTTTCCCCAACCCACATTGTCCTGCAGAGCAGCAGGGACTTAGATCCCCTATCTGGGTTTTTCTTTCTCCTGCCCCTCCCAACACTGCTGTAGACTAACTTAGTTTGCTGTTGGGTCCTGTAGAAGATTTCTGATGTTAGTGTCATTTGATCTCGCTCTGGGTGGCTTTCTCTTTCAATACTCATTTGTGTCATCCTTCCTGTTTATATACTTTTATGAAGCAAATTTGCTTCTTTAGAGTAAAGCTAAACCTCAAAATAATTTGCAAAATAGTGTGAAGAAATCTAGATTTGTAGGATGTTTAGTCCAGTCCTTCTGAGTTGTTTTACTTATACTAGTTTGACAATGAATTTTGTGTGTGTGTGTGTATGTGTGTGTGTGTGTGTGTGTATGCATGTGTATGCATGATCATGTGTGCGCATGCATGTGGAGGGCAGAGGTCAACCTCTGGTGTCATTCCCCAGGTGTCATCCACCTTGTGTTTTGAGACAGGGTCTCTCTTTAGGACCCGAGACTTGCCTATTAGGCTAGGCAGGCTGGCTAGGAAGCCCCAGGGATCTGCCTGTGTCTACCTCCCGTGTACATCACCACATCTGGCTTTCTTAAAAAATATTTTTATTATTTTTTGTGTATGAGTGTATTGCTTGCATGTGTGTAAATGTAACTGTGTCATGCAATGGCCATGGAGGTCAGAAGATGGTATCAGAGTTATAGACGGTTGTGTTAGCTGCCACGTGGGTGCTGGGAATTGAACCCAGGTCCTCTGCAAGAGCAGTCAGTGCTCTTAACTGCTGAGGCATCTCTCCAGACTATATCTGGCTTTTTTATTTACATGGGTTCTGAGGACTGAAGTCAGGTTCTCATGTTTCCGAGGCAAGCACTTTACAGTCTGAGCTATCTCTCCCAGCTGATGATTTTTTAAAAAATATTTTATTTATTATTTTTATTTTATGTGTATGAGTGTATTGCCTGCCTGTATGTGAGTGCACCTGTGCTGTGCAGTGCCGTGGAGGTCAGAAGAGGGCTTTGGATTCCCCTGGAACTGGAGTTAAGTATGATTTGTAGGCACCATGTAGGTGCTGGGAATTGAACCCTGGTCCTCTGCAAGAGCAGTCAGTGCTCTTAACCACTGAGCCATCTCTCCAGCCCCCAGCTGATGATTTTTAAGAAACTGCGTTACTATCTTTCCAGAGTATAGGCTGCTCCTCATGTAAACCCTCCTTTTCCATGCATTTGCATGAGTTTATTCGCTTATTGAATTTGGGTCTTGTGGTTATACAACTGACCGAAACAGGCTTGGGAGAAAATATGGGAGACTCTAAGAGAGTATACTGCCCATATGGGGAACAAAGGCTTGTACAGATCACGGGGTGCCTATGGATATCAGTCTGTCAAGGCTTAACTCTGGGGAGCTTGGGTAAGAGAGCTCTTCTAAACTACTGTCAGTTGGGTAGATACAGCTAGATTGTGAAGGGGCCCTGCTTCTCCCAGTGGCCACAGGGCTCAGTAAGAATGGGGAACATGTTAGCAGATGTTATGACCCAGGTGCTATCTGAAGTTCCTGTGTATGAATTGAGAACATTTATGAGACAGATGTGATTATCATTCCTAATTCACTGGCTGATAAAACTGAGGGCCAAAGAGGTCAGGCAGTGTGCCCAAGGTCTCACAGCCGTGAGGCAGCAAAGCTGTGATTTGAACCCAGTCTCAGGCATCAGGCTGTTTTGGGTTAGAAATGAGTCTCAAATCCCCAAGCATTCATGTGAACAGCTCCTCAGTGGCCCATCATCTGTCAGGACCAAGAGCAACTCTCTCAGAAGAGGGTCACAAAATTGTGAACTTGGACCAGGTGTGGCCTCTTTCCACAAGCTGGGCTCAGCTGCTAGCTTCACCCCTTTCCTGGATGGTCAGAATGTGCAAGGTGCCAGCTCTCACATCTATAAGCTTGGGCCAGTGACTATCCATTAAAGTTGCGGCCACCGATCCCATTACGAGGCACACTCCTCCCCAGCTCATTCTCAGATCTGATGCTTCAAGGGTCCCTTGTCTTCCCACCCCCACTCCATCAGCTGAGCACAGCATGACTGGAAGCCCGTGAGAGGCCTGGCCTACAACTACATTTCCCACATAGGAGGCACCGGAAGAGGGACAAGTCTGTTGGCCCAGAAATTCCGGTATCAACCTACATGAAGCTATGCAGGGTAGTGGTGGGAACCTGTGGCAAAAGGAAGGGCATCAGGAGGCCAAGCCAGGGAACAGATTCTGCTAGGAGGTCTCAGTAAACCTCTCCTGAATAGACTGTAGTATAGCTCACAGAGCAAGATTCAGGGAGTCAAATCCCAGGGACACCCAGCCAGCACTGTAGGGCTCAGTCTTAGGAAAACACTAGGCCAGGAAGGACAATGGCTTTAGTGGCACAAACCAGAGAGGCCAGTTTTTCTTTACTGGCAGACACAGTCCCCCACCCCTTACTGTAAGAAGGCAACTGGCAAAGCCATGGACCCCAGTCTCCTTTTGCCCGACGCTTCAGCAGAACTGTGTCCTTCTTCCCTCAGCTCCAGTAACACCCTGGATTTTGCTGTCCTGGTTGAAAACAAGGAAAGTGCGGCAAACCTGAAAGATGCAAATGCAGACTCCGATGGGTAAGCCATTAGCAGACAGGACTGACAATCTAGGGTCTGAGATGGAACTTGGGTGGCTATCAGGGTTTGGACAGGAAGGTGAGGCTGCACCTGTGAGCTAGCCTGAAGTACATGAAAGGCTGAAGACCTAGCTGGAACCCTTTGGCCTCTGCCTCTGGTGCTGGGAGCTTCCCATTAAATCCCATTACTTCCAGTGAGGAAGCACTCTGTAATCAGGAACTGTCACTTCAGTCAGCAAGCATTGGGATGGTTTTTTGCTGGAGGCTGGAGTATAGCACTACTTTCACAAAACTCTCATGCTACGGAGTAGACAAAGGCTGAGCCAGATTTGTAGAACAAATCATGCGATGGCAGGAGGAAGGGTCCTTGGGGAAGCTTGGGGGTGGTGGTTTTGAAGTTGTATCTTGAGATGTGACGAGTAATGCTTCCAGCAGTGAGAATAGAACAGAACAAGGGCTCAATAGTACTCTATTGGTCATTGTACATAGCTTGTGTGGCCAGTGACGGGGTCCTTGGGTGGGGAATAATGGACGGAGAGGTTTGTCAAAGTCCCATGATATTGTTCATGATCACAGTAAGAACTTCACCTCGGGACACTTACTGAGTGTGCAGCTCTTTTATAGGTCCAGAGGGCACTCAGTGAGATTTCCAGGTTCTTGTGTTCCAGAACAAAGAACTGAACCAGGACATAGTGCTAGAAATAGAGACAGTTGTTATTAAGAAAGAAGAGTACTCCCAAGAAGTAGGGGGCTGTGGGGATAGCCCAGTCATGAAGGCACTTCCATTGCAAGCACAAAGACCCGAGTTTAGTCTCCAGAACTCATAAAAATGCTTAAAATCCTACAACCGGGGAGGCAGACACATGAGGGTTCCTGGGGTCACTGGCCAGCTAGTCTAGCCTAATTGATGAACTCCAGCCCAATGAGAGGGCCTGTCTCAGAGGAGATGGCTGGTGTTCACAAGGATAACCCCTGCGGTTTTCCTCTAGCCTCCACATACATACATACACATACACATGCTCATCTTCACACTCATGTACATACGTATACATACATGTGCGCACACACAGATAATAAACTGGAAGTGCGGGTCAAGAGCTGGAAAAGGTCTGAGGCTCAAAAGTCACATGCCAGGAGAATCTTGATTCTTTATGGTCATTTATAAAAGCCCACCTTCTCCCACATTTGGAATTCATGGGATTTTCTCACTTGTGCTGTTTTACTACTAGTGGCCTATGGTATGTGTATGGGGGGCGGGGTTCAGTCTTCTAACATTAGTTTCTTTCACATTGTTAATCCTTATGCGTCTTTCTCCATGTCCAGTTCACCACAGCCCTGTCTCGTATAGTACTCTCCAGATTTATGTCTACTTTGTGCAAACAGCAGAGGCGAAGCCAGGTTCCCATGCCTCCTTGGAAGGACAGTGCTCTGAAGAGGATAGCTAGGGTTCTAAAATACAGAGATAGTGACCAGGAGGGATGCTAGTTAAATGAGTAGGGGTACAAGGTGAGACAGCTCAAGGGAGCAAAGAGAAAGAACCAGGCAAATGTAGAATGAGGGGAAACAGCTGAGTTTAAGGAACTGTAAACCTAATAATTCCATGGAGGCAGTGTACCTCATATGTTCCAAAGCACTGAGTGGCTGGAGCCTAATGAGAGGTCCACAGATGGAGCAGGGTCTCGTGCAGTATAACGAGACTTGATCATTCATCTTCTAAGTCAAAGAAGAGCTATGGTTTATGTATTTAAAGGTGAATGGGTGTTTGAATTTCTACACCACACTACTGTTGCCTTTTCGTTAAATCTAGCTTTAAACCATATTGTAAGAGGTGGGGTGGACAATGCATTTCTAAGTTACAGGTCTTGTTATCTATCCTCTTTTTTATTTATTTTTATTTTATGTGTATGTGTGTATTGCCTGCATGTAGGTAAGTGCACCTGTGTCGTGCAATGCTCGCAGAGGCCCGAAGAGGCCGTCGGATCCCTTGGGGCTGGAGTTAGGGACAGTTGTTAGCTGCCATGTGGGTGCTGGGATTCGAACCCGGGTCTTCTGCAAGAACAACTAGTGCTCTTAGCCACTGAGCCATCTCTCCAGCCCATATCTGTCCCTTTTTATGTTTTACATTGCACTAACAATTAGTATGCTGTGAAAAGAACAGCTGATGGTTATAGTATGGTGTTATATGCTGTCAGTATGTGCTTTACAGTCATCCTAAGCAACTCTGTGAGGTGTCTAAAATGAAACAAAAGAAAGGTTAAAATTATCCATAACCTTACATGTGGCAGAGCTGAGTCCTAAGGACAGGCTCAAAGAAAAACCTCCAGAGAAACTACAAAAAATGAATTGGGCAGGCACAGTGACATACCCTTTAATCCCAGCACTCTAGAGGTAAAGGCAGGCTGATCTCTATGAGATCACGACTAGCCTGTTCTACATAGCTAATTCCAGGCCAGTTGGGGTTACAGGGGGACACTATCTCAAAAAAGAGAGAAAAAAGCTAGTTGATGAAATTTGAGGTCCATTCTCAAGACCCATACACACCTTGCAGCTGGTGTATTGATCTGGTTTATGCTTCCTGAAACCCAGAAAGGATCGGGTTTCTCACTATGCAGATTGACAGGGGGGAAAACCTGGGTCCATTTTTGTGAGGTGCAGAGGTAGAAATAAAATCTAGATTTGACTAACCGTAGAGCCCAGGCTCTTCTTATATTTAAGAGTTTGAAAAATTAGTGGAAACATTCCTAGTAAGTGTTTCATAACTCTGGTTCTACTAAGTATCACCTCGGAAGTATTAAAAAACAATACACTTCCTGAGTGGCACATAGAAATTTGGACTTAATTTTCCTAGGCTGTGTCTCCACCACTGTTGTTAAGCTCTCGATTTTCAACGGTGGGCATATCCTGCCCACACTCCAATCCACTGCATCATCTCGTAATGCCTGGGGATATTTTAGGTTTTCACAATTGAGAGTGACTTCTAAAGGATAGGGTTTACGGACGCTGCTAAAATTTCTGTAGTACATTTGCTAGTGCCTGATCTATAGCACACAGCAGAATTATCCAGCCCAAAACAGTAGTACCATTAAGGTTGACAACCTCTCCTCTAGCGTGTATGCAGTCTCTTTGAGAACGCACGCTCAGGATGTAAAATACAAAAAGAGTGGACTGGATCTACTCAGACTGCTACATACAGGAGCGGCGGGTACAGCATGCATGCGCCTGCGCCTCTGCAACCGCTTCTGCAGCATACCTGAGTTGCGCATGCAGGTGCCTCACTGCGCTAAGCCTGCATGTTAGGCGCATGCGCACAAGTACGCCTGGGTCCTCGGCGCCAAGACCTGCACCCAGGTGAGAGTGCGCTTGCGCACGCGGCCATTTCCTGCAGCTGCAAGCGCTGGCCGAGGTGCCCACTGGGAAATGGGACATTTGGAAAAATGAAATGGCTGCTCAGGCGACTGTGGCGTCTCGGGGCCGGTCCTGACGCTGTGCCCGCTCCGGCC